CACTGTGACCCAAGATCAACGAGGCATGAAGGCTACCTTTTATTTCATTACCATCCCTGCCCAGTTGACGCCCATTTGCATGATTCTTATCAACTTGCTCATGCCCGGCGGCGCCATGAACATACTCCTCCAGCTTGAGGGCTTCGTAGCCGCTCACCTTTACGATTTCCTGTCCCGAATCTGGCCCGAGTTTGGCGGCGGTCCCAACCTACTTGCTACACCCCCGTTCCTTGATCGTCTTATGCAGTCGCCTATCATTGAGCGAGGTTTTGGTACGGCAATCCGTAACCCAGGCCCAGGCCCTGCAGGCAGCAGCTCAGGTGCGTCGAGGGGTCCTCTCCCTGATTCGTGGAGAACCCGAGGTCAAGGACACCGCTTGGGTTGAGATTGAGAAGAAGAATAATAGTACATTGTAAATGATTATGGAACTTGATTGAGAAACAAGAAACTGAATAAATTATTTCATGGCAACAATGCTACCTTGTTCCGTCCCTCGACTCTAGTGTGGCATTGCATGAAGAAGAATATGTATATATACTGTGACCCAAATAACCAGATCAAGGCCGTCCCACCATTCCAAACTCCATGCTATATGTACTATCCATTCCAGGACATTAAATCAAATTGTAGCCTCCCAAGAAGAATTCATTACCCTTAACACACATCACCACAGAATTTTACTGTTGCTGCTGTTCCCGCTCTTCATGGGGGACTTCTTCTTCCCCGTAGACAGATACTTTGCAAAGTAAGCGGGTGCCTCCGTCGCAAGCACCTGTCCGCCCTGCAAGGGCTTGTCCTGAAACCTCGAATCCAGTACTGCGACCGGCCTCGAGATGTTCAGCTCAGAGTGCTCCTGATCGTGCTTCTCGACACTCTGTGCAGACGCCTCAGTTATGCCCAGCACATTAGGGGGGGTGTATTTCTTGGGCAGCTTGAACTTGGCCAGGGATGGGAGGCTGAGGGCCGGGACCTTGGAAGCGACTGGGGGAGGAGGCGGCGGTGGAGGAGGCGGAGGAGGAGGCGGAGCAGCAACAGCAGTTGGCAGAGGCCCTGAGACTTCATCCGGCTTCTGGTTCCAAGGTTGCGAATCGTTGACTTCGGGGCCAGTGCCGTGAGCGACGAAGTTGGAAGAGAAATAGTTAGGATCGACGCGAGATCCCGCAGCTGCTGGAACATAGGGTTGGAGACGATACGAGTTGTCCATAGAAATGCCCAAGGCTGACATGGGAGACGAGTGTGACGCAAGGTTGCGGCTGGCCACCTGCGGAATATATGCGTGGTGTGCTGGAAGACTACTCGAGGGAGCATGTCTCGTCTTGCGTGGCAGCTGGTAGTAGTTAGTAGGCTGCTTGCCTTCTGCCTCTAGCTTGTCGTAAAACTGTCCATTGGATATACCACCGCCGTGGCTGAAGGACTCGGATTTGCTGTACGAGTGGAGAGATCTCGGTGCCTGATCGGCGAAGATGGGACCCTTTCGGATGCCAGCATACTGATTCATTGACGCGTCTGGTGGGGGAGAGTCGATTTGCAAGCGCTCACGGCGGTTTTTCCGGCAGTAGATGAACAAGAGACCAGCTGCACTGATAAAGGCCAGGACGCAGCCAATCGCAATACCAACAATGGCTCCGGTAGTCATTGCTCCAACAGGGGCTCCTCCATCACCGGGAAGTGCTGTGCTGGTGGCGGGGTTGGTGATGTTCGCAACCGTGGATGTAAAGATTGTGCTGTTGAGGCCTATGAGGGCACCAGCCTTGGGGCGCTGCACACAGCCTGCTCGAAGAGCCACCAGGACTAAAGGGATGAAGGTGTCAGTTTCATTTCAAAGTCTGGCAGAAAAAAAGGCATCAAGCAACCATATACTCACAGTTTGAGAAGTACGTCTGGCTAGTTGTTGTCTGCAGGCAACTGATGCAGGAACCATAGCTTCCTCCTGACATGGCCGAGCTACCAGCCTCACAGTAATCGAATTGGTCGTCAACAGTCATGTTGAGTAGTGACGTTTTCAGGGCTTTCCCAAGAGGGGCGCACGCTCCGTCGATGTTGCATGGTGAATTGATAGTGCCAGTTGATGGTTCCTCAGGGTAGGAGAAGATGCACACGTCGAAAGCGTATCGGATATTGTCTAGAGTGAGAGTTAGACATGCGTAGGGGAATAGGTCTATATATATGAAGATAAATGGACTGGGGCTTGGAGAGGATTTGCATACAGAGGAAGGCGGAGACATCGCTGTCATCTCCATGAGTAGCATTACTATTTTGTAGACAGTTGAGGCAGTTCTTGTACTTGATACCCTTCCCTGTTTTCGTGAAGCTGCTGTCTACACATGAAATATCCGTCGAGTTGACATTGGTCGAGTCCGAGTCGGCGGAAGCGTCAGTGCAGAGAGCCTCACAGTCAGAGCCTGGTGTGACTTGTAAAGCGTGAATAGATGCGACGAAGAGTAATGAAGCCAAGAGGCTCCGCCGTAGACTGAATTGCCACATGTTGGAAGATAGAACTCAACCAGCCAACGGGTTCGACTGGGCCTGGTACAGGAAACGAGAAGAGATGATGACCGGTGAGGTCAGGGCGAGAAGAAGACGGCACGAAGTAAGGAGATCGTGCCCAGCATGACAGAACCGAAGAATCCCGAATGACGCCTCCAAGTCCAGAGTCCAGACAAGAGAAAAAGGGAAGAAATAAGGGAACACCGGAAGGGTTTAAGGAAACCAGCTCCCAGAGACGTCAATGAGAAGGGGGACACAGAACAGAAGCAAGGAGAACCAGGACTTCTATACACCAAAAGACAAAAGGCTGCATGTAGAAAGCAATAGCCTGGTTTATGAACGACTGCAGACTACCTTGGGCAAAACTTCAAGGCGGGCCAAATCTTCTTTCGGGGGGAGAGAGGCGGCTGGGAATAACCACGACGGACATGGTTGCTTGCATTAGTTTGTTCAATTTCGAGGCAGATCTACAGATGTAAGCGGGCCAAGGCGGGAGATGCGACAACCTCATAGGACAGATAGTCGCTCAAGAGGCATGGGGGGGGTTACTGTGTAGAGGGGGGAGGGCGAATGTGGAAAGGACTGAGAGTAAATGACGAGAATAGCAACATGGAGAAAGCCAATAGGAGGGACAATGGACGGAATGACTCGCTGGGGTTGAGGTTCTCGCCACCTCCAATCAGAGCTGAACGGGTAACCTGCTCGGCGGTTAAAGGTCGTGGAGGGTGACCGGGGGGGCCTTGCACTTGCATGGAGGAGGGTCCATGAGATGTCATCGTCAAATCAGACGTCACCGAGTGGTCTTGCAGACGCCGGCCAGTTGTCGCGGCCCTCCCAACCTGCCAGTTCAGAAAACGCTCTTGCTTTGTCGGAGGGTTGCGCCCGTTCGGTAAGGCTTGTTTCAAGGACAGAGGATAGCTAATGAGCAGGCTGTTGGTTGGGTCGGCCGTTGGGCTCGTGGTTGCTGCACTGATTGATTTGTTGGTCAAAGAAGAGGTTGAAAATGTGCACATTACAGTAGATATCAGTGTACCCAATATTGCAATGTAAGTAGGTGGTTAATTACATAACGGAGGTAGAGAAGGCCTTCCTCAAGATTCTTGCTTGATGGTTAATATCCACCAGACCTACTGCACAAGACATCGTCAGAGCAGAGTAATCAACTTCGGTTTTCAACTTTGAGTCAAAAGCCTTCGCTCGCTCTGCAGGCTCGGCTAACTCGCGGATCCATCGTCCAGCCGGAACGTTTTTACAAAAGCGCCAGCAAACAAATTTACCGCAGGCGCGCGGACCAGGTCCCAGAATGCCATCCAATCGAGTTTAGTAGCACTGTACGCAGTCTGCACAAGCGCAAAACGGACATCCATTTCAATATTTCTCCCGGGGAAGCCCAAATTGGTTTCCACGCCTAGCCCGAGTTGCACTGGGCAGATGTGATAGTGATGAGTCTTGCATATATGGATCCTTCGCCAGAGCTACATGACCACTCAACTTCATTTCGCAATGACGGTGGCCGGGCTGCTACCACTACACCCTTAACAAATGTGGCCGCGTGCTGCTTCCTGCTGAGATGAAGGATGGATTAGATTGATTGATTGATCGATTGACACCCTCCTCGGCAATCTTTTTAATCTCACGAGGACAGTGCAGTACGCGTGTATGCAGTTTCAGATTGAAGCCTTAGAAGCAGCTTGGAAGCACGACGTTTTCCATGTACAAATGTGTAACCTATTATTATATGCATGTCCACGATTTCTTCTGCATCATAGACACCCCATCACAGAGAGAGACCATGGTTCCCTTTACATCTTGACGACATACTTACTGTTTGTCGCTCGAACAAGTTGATTGGCCTTCAAATCATCCGCGACATCCTCCCACTCACCCTTGGCATTAAGTCGGTACCTCTGCCTGAGACATGTCCCTTCTCACCTAGCAATTGGCCCTAATTAGAAGTTTTATAATGTCTCTAGCTAGCATCTGCATGTTTCGTTTCCTCAATGCATCTTTTCTTCCCATCTCTTTTCTTTTCTTTTCTTTTAGGTCTCATGAATAATGAACCCTTGTGCCGTCCCGTCTTACATACACCGCTTACGCTTCAGGGTTTGCACAATCCCGGTCAGATCCAGGCCACGATTGAAGACCAGACCACGTAACCTTGTATGACAGGCCTGGCCTTCCTGAGTACTTCTAACCAACAACAATCAAACATGGACACCAATGTACTGAACAGTTGGACCGAGCACTGACTGAAAAAAAAAAAAAAAAAGCGTAATCTACCAGCAGTACTTTGATATAGCCATGCTGGTTCAGTTCCTCCAAATGTCCGCAGTGAGTGAAGGCTATTTGTTTGGCCACGCTTTCATCACCGCAACGAATCTTTCCATGAAACGCCAGTGTATATATATATATATATTCTGCCAAACTAGAGAGCAAAGTGCGAATTCAGAACCTCTACCTTCTGAGCAAAGAAAAAAAAGGAAGGCTTTGTTGGAACAGACAAAAAATCAATGTGCGCGAACCGGGAATCGAACCCGGGGCACAGGCATGGGAAGCCCGCATTTTACCACTAAACCATTCGCGCTGTGGACAGCGCAACCATGCTGATTTTGGACACTGTGACAAGTATCTTGGTTTATAAGGCATACTCTGTAACAGCAAGCACCTGTTGTGCAACTTGTGGGGTAACACGTTAAATCCAGGAGCTTGGACTTTCCATGGAGCCTTGCGGCCAACCCCTCCAAACCAATTCCCAATCCTCACGAGCTAAAGCCGTCATCGATATCTTTGACACTGGGAGCTCGCCTTAACCCACTCTCCCCGTTATAGCCTTCCTCGTCGTCTTGCGATTACTCCCCGGCCGACACTTCTTCTCTCTCCCCCTCCCTCGCCTTCCTTCCACGCCCACTCCTTCAACATGACGACCAAGGTCCAGGCCATTGTCAACCGCTTGAGAAACAAGATTCTCGAGTGCGACTACTACGAGGCCCAGCAGCAAACCCGTGTCGCGGCGAAACGCTACATCAACAAGTCCCAGTGGCCCGAGGCCATCAATATCCTCGCAGATGTCGCAGAGTCTCTACTTCGCGCTGGCCAGGGTGGCAGTGGAGGCGACTTGTGCATCATGCTGGTCGACGTCTACAACCAGGCCCAGCTCAAGCCCGACAGCGTTTCCAAGGGTCGGCTTCTGAACTGCCTGCGCCTTTTCGATCCGGAGGAGCCTACCAGGAAGAAGTTTGTTGGAGACATGATTGGGTGAGTACCTCGCTTCTACAGTCAAGGTGGGACATCTGGATAGGACAGTTCGGCGCTGACAAAAGGCATGTGACAGATGGTCAGCCAAGCTTGGAGAATTCCCGGCTGGCGACCCCGAACTTCACCACGTTGCGGGATCGCTTTACGCCGAAGAGCACGACACGTACGAGGCAGAGAGACATCTGATACTGGGAACCAAGGACTCTCCCGAGGTTTTGACTAAGATGGAATATACTTGGTACAAGGAGGGGCAACCTCATGAGGCAGGCTTGTTCGCTGGCCGGGCCGTGCTGCCTTACCTTCTTGTCGGCAACGTGCGTGCCGCAAACACTTGCTACCGCCTATTTACCAGCACCTTGAGCGAGGATGTCCCTACTCTCGGTGTCCAGGACGTGGCAGCTTCTAACGGTGATATTCGCGTGTTCCCTAGCCTACCGCTCCTCAACTTCCTCGGCTTCCTCCTCATGGCTGTGCAACGCGCCACTCCCGAGCTCTACAAGGGGCTTGTGTCCAAGTATGCCACGCAGATTAACGAGGCCGAGAACTGGGGTGACGCGCTGCAGATGATTGGCGAGATGTATTTTGGAATCGCCCAGCCTCGCAAGAGCAATCCTCTGATGGATATGATGAGCGGACTGTTCGGTGGGGGTGCGCCTTCTCCTGCGCCTCAGCAGCAGCGGAGAAATGCCCCGCGGGGTCTGGATGCCCCTGCGCCGGAGGGATTGGATTAATGGTCGGGTCCTTTATTTATTGTATCATAGTTGCCGCCTTCTCTGGAAGAAAAATGATAGACAGCGGGGCGTTGCATAAGGTAGGCAGATGAGTGTCATGGCTACCCGCGGGAGTGCTCTTCCCTTTCGAACATCCAGTTGTCCTCAGCAAGAGCCGCAACTTTGGCTCTGAGGCTTGCCTTGACGGCTTCGAGGAGTTCTAGAAGGACGTATTTAGCGACTACGTAATATGAGAAACGAGCGGGGCATTGGGTGGCAAACCTTGGGGTTGATCTGGCACACTACTTTGTTGATGAATTCGATGATGTTTCACGGCTTCAGCCAATCGCTGTCGTTCCTCTGCGTGACTTGTAAGCATACAATATCATTGATGTTTGGAGCACAACACGACGTGGTAAAACGTGAGGGAATGGCTGAAGGGAGGGAAATCGGGGGCCTACGCACTCTCAGTTTCTTGGCCATGATCAAATCCCAGTTCTTCTTCGTCCTCAAATATGGGCGTGGGTGGATCGCCAAGCTCAATCTCGCCGTGCTGGTCGCGAACCACAATCTCTGACGTATCGGAGAGCACATCAACATCGAGATGCAGCGTCTCGGCCGAGGCGGGGGAGCTGGCGTTGGGTCGCCGGGTCAACTGGCTCTGGAAGAGGTTTCGGCGGATGCTTCCACCAACACCGTTGCGCGTGCGAGGGGCGACGCCGCCGACACCGTTGCTGCCATTGGTGGCGACTGTGCGAGAGCGATCGGCCATGGGGGTCGCGAATAGGTCTTTTAGAGGCAAAGAAAGGAGGGGGGGAGGGGAGACTGTTCACGTGCGACTGGGTTTTGGTGGGTGTGGGCGGTGAAGGGGAGGGAACTGGTGGTGAGGAGAGACGAAATGGTGAGATGTGAGATACAATGTTTATTGCTGATACAGATAGGTCGCTGTGTTGGTGCTGAAGGTAGGTAGGTATGTTCTGGATGCAGGTGGGGATTTGGCAAGGGAGAGCTGTAGGCGACATTTATTAGTCGCAGCTGGCTCTGCCTGGCTGTATTGTATGCATCACTACCAATGGATAACCGCCGTCTTGCTTGCGCACAGAAACTATTTGAATGAAAGAAACTTAACTCAGAATACATAAACAGACACACAAACACACATATACATAGATATTTGTATATGTATTCATACACAAACATGCGTGTTTCTGATGTTATGTCAACGCACTTCCCAGCCTATCTCAAAGCGCCCAGTATGAATTATCATTCCCTCATTAATTCACATTAATTCACGACGAAACAAATTAAAAGTAACACGACGAATGCATTTGCCTAACGCTAAAATATTATCACGCCCAAGTGCCCCATGAATTCTCTGAGTAATACTCATCAAACAACCAAAAAAAACGGAAGAAGCCCCAAATTCTAAACTGCAGTTGGCTTGGACCACATACGAGGGGAGGATCTTGACTAATGGCCCATGTGACGCCCTATCCTCGTCATAATCACTAGGCCATATGATACAACCCGAAATTCCAAGACAATATCGCATAGTTTGTATGCGCTGTCTGTGGGAGGGAAAACTTTGTGTCAATCTTATCTGCTACGACTTTGCTGCATGTCTACAGAGAGAGGTTGTACGAGTATTCGTCCTCCATGTTCTGGCTGACCCAAAGCACAACAGAGCTGAATAAAAATCACTAGCGTTAGCAATGTACTCGAACTGCGGCAATGGCAATGTTATTTCTTCCGATCACTTACCTGAGGCCGACCAGAGCATTGCTCACAACATTCTCAATACCCATGCCCAAGGCGGGCATGGCCACGTTGGGGACGATGAACTTGAGAACAAACACGGTGACACCTCCAGCCATGCCGCCGGCGAGAGCGGCGAAGCCCAGGAAGAGGACCACGCGGGCCTTCCATGCGACACCAGATCCACTATAACTGAACGAGTCGGCACTGAGGCGCTGCTTCTCGACCGAGTTGATGATGAGCATGCCCAGGCTGGAGAAGATGAAGGGCAGCCAGTCGACAAACTTGATGTGGACGTCGGAGCCGTTGTGTGCGGACTTAGACCAGACGGCGGAATCGAGCATAACGTAGAATGCGATGGAGAACTATGCGCGAAATAAGGGAGAGGCGTGTTAGCTACTTTGATAAACCTTTTGAGAGCGAGAAGAGGCAAAATGCGCCGAAGGATTACAGTAGCGGACTCCCCGATCGCAGTGCGACATTCCTGCACGCTTCCGCAAAAGAGGAGGGAGGGCCAGTAAACTTCAAGGCGCATACGAGAGACGTACAAGAGCTCCAGCGCCGTAGACACCGGCGTTGCGGGCCCAGATGCTGTTAAGCCACTCAGGCCGTCGAAACTTCCAAAGACGCTCCTCTTCCATGGTGATCAAACTCGGGGGTTATACGAATGGATCGTGCGGTCGATAAAGCGCGTTGATCAGGCGCAAGAGGGTGCTTTTGATGGAGAAAGGCGTAGGCTGTGTCGGCGAAGAGGATGGGGGAGGAGGCGACCGGCGGAAGTGCTAGAGGGTGGAAGACAGGTAATTGACGTAGTGTCGGAGATGAAGGCAGCTCTGAGGCCCATGATGACGAGGCTGGCGGGTGGGCTGTGCCACATTTGAATGGCTAGATGATGGAAATGGTCACGTGCATGGTATCCATCCAGCGGGTCGCTGTGAACATGCAGCGATAGGCAGTAATTATATACACCTACCGTACCTATCCATTACCATGTACTTGACATTGGTTTGTAACAATTAGTATTGCCTTTTGAATTCGTTTTCGTGGTTACCGTCTGAAGCAATTACACCGTCTACGATTACGAGTAGATTACGAAGAGAGAAATTGGTCATTCAGTCGTCAGATTAATTCTTATTCTGTACCTCTAACAGATTTGTTGAGGACAATGCCTGGACCTAGCTCCACGCATATCATTCCCGCCTCCTAAATTCAGATGCTGCCTCTGCTGGCAGAAGATATCATCTGTAGCCATATCAAAACACAGAAAATGCCATTGGTATCGCCGATAGAACAAAAACGCCTGGCTCATAAACAGAAAAAAAAACAGTAGTGATGAAAAAAATTTGCCAGCCTGCAATCCACATAGGGGTGGGAGGGCTTCACTTCTTGATATCATCATCAAGCCCAAAAAGTCCACGCTGAAGATACGCTTCTTGCTGTTGGTACATATTTGGGAACATTTGTCCAGGATGAAACTGGCTTTGATCAACTGGGCGGCTCTCGTAGGATCCTTGCTGTTGCTGTGATGGGTATGTCGACGCGATGTTCTGACGGTCTCCCATCGTCGGGTGTGTGCCGCCCTCGACTGGTTGCATCTCGTACTCTTCCGGAACTCCCTTGCCCTTGCCCGAGTTTCCGCTGCTGAGTGACGACACATCGCTTCCATGGGGGGCCACGGCAGGCGATGGACTGCCGTGAACTGGCGGGGTCATCAGGTATTGCGAATGTACCATGGTAGATGAGCTGGCTCCTGTCGCGGGCGTCATTTGATGCTGATGGTTAGGTACCATGCCATATGGGCCCCCCTCGGCCTGAATTGGCACCTGGTACTCGGGGTGAGCGCCCATAACGGGCCAGTGGGCGA